CTGGGGTGGCACCAAAACAGCAAATAAAAAAACATAGTTTCAGGGATTTGTTCTGTCATTGTCATACATCAGTTAAAAATCACCTTCTGATAAACACAGGTCTACTTTAGTTTGTTTATTTTTACAGGTAAATTGCATTGTGAGAAAATTTGTCAATACTCAACTTATTAAAGTTTGTCCTTTCCTAAATATTTATGTATAATGACATATTGTGCATAAAACCTCCTGACACCATGCATCCTGATGTTGAGGACACTGGTTTTAGACCAGTTTTCTGGGGGATTCAGGGGGACTAGATATAAAGTTTTATTTATTTGTTTTATAAAATATGTATATTTTATCTAATTGCACAAAAACAATATTAGTTTTTATGTTTGCAGTGTTCTACTAGTACAAAATATCTAGGGCAAATTTAATAAATGCACATCAAGCAAAAACTTGGGACTCAGGAGATTAAAACTGGTCAAGGGTGGCCAGCAGGTGGGCACTAGTTAACAAGGGGTAGCTCTTACACCCGCCGTCCCCCTTTGGTGGTGCCTCTGAAAGATTAACATCATAATACATTACAGCTTAACTTGCTTTTAAATGAAAATTATTCAAAGTTACTTAAGTTTTTATGTTTCTCCAAACCTGTTTTTTTCTGCATTTGTTTGAACTCTAAGTTAAAACCAGAGCCTGATTTATTTTAAACATCCACCATAATATATTTTGTAATTAGACATGTTTTCTGTTATTTCCCCAGAGTGCAGTATGTCAGGACCTCCCTTAGTCAACAGTTTACCTGAACGATGTGGTTGTTTCTGCTCTGAAAATGGTCTGAAAAATAAAAAACATAAAAATATTAAATAGCAATTGTTTAATTTATGCCAGTAAGTTAAAAAAAAACATAATTGAGCTCAAGACACTTACTTGTTGTAAATGCTCATGAGCACTGTTGGTAGAAGAACGAGAGAAAAATATAATTATTCATCAATCTACAACTGGCAGAATATTAAACAATATATAACAATATTATAAATATATATACAATATATATATATATATATAAAACAATATTGAGCATGCATCAGGATATTCAACAATACTTTGCTCTGATCAAACAGAGTTGCTTTGTCGAGGTTACTTTCACTTTGACTAAAATTTGCAAGTTATTTCCATTTCTGAGCAACTTCATCATGTGAGAACTTAAAGCAGAAAGCCAGTATGTCAGGAATAGATCCTAATATAATATGTTCACATCCCAGTTCAGACCTCTTCATTAGAGGCTTTAGTAAAGGTTCTTATCAGTTCTCCTATACTCATGTGGAAAACAACTTAAATCCTCAGAGAATCAGTTCCTGTATGCCAAAGCAAGCAGAATGAGACCGTATCTAACCTCGCTTAGGATGACATGTTTTCCTCAGGAAGACTAGCAGCATACAGCTGATGAGAAACAAAGGGCAGATGATAATGACTGCCAGCGGAGACACAGAGCCTCCCTCCTGGATGTGCTTTTCTTTTCCTGTTAATAAACAACAACGTTACACATATGAACACATTTAAACACGGATCTGTGCATGACGGTTGCTTTGTCATTAAAATACATCAGTAGTCATCAGGTTTACTGTATTTTCATGAAAATTTGAGTAGATAAGGTCCTAATACATCAATTTTCCAGCCCTGCATAGGTTTGAATCCTGCCAACAACATTTAGATGTAAAAATGATTATTTGGTGGATTGGGTAAAGAAGGTCATATGCAAATCAAAGCTTTTTAATTTATTTAAAGATTTTTAAAATGACTGGAATGACTTAAAGCTAAAAGCAGTTTTTAAAAAGTCTCCCATAGTCAAAGTTTATTTAAGGAATTAAAGCGACTTGATGTTTATCTTGAGTTACAGTATTGTATATGGTCATAAATATGATTGGACAACTGTAAAACATGATAATGTTGCAGTTAGCTTAAACTGCAAGTGTTTTGTTATTTTCACTTGTAAAATAAAAAAAATAGACATTTCTATGGGAATCCAAGTATTTGGTAAGTTCACATGATCCGTTTAAAGAAACAAGAATGTTTCATCAAAACATATAAAACGTACTTTTAATTTCTACATCAATAATGAATCTTACAGTGGTGGACTATCAGGGTCACAAAAGCCTTCTCTGCAAACACAATCAGAATCACTAATTTACATTTTAATATATTTAGCTATTTATTAATATTATTCTGAAATGGCTGTCCTCTTCATTTCAAAGTGTTTCTCCTGGTTATGCAGCTTCCAGCAACATGTGTATCTAAATAGCGTTTATCCAATCATATTTCAACCATCGTGAGTTGCTAGGATCAAATAAATCTGTCTCGAGGACGTCAGGATCAACAGAGCAGGCACCTGTAGGTTAAAACAAGTGGCAATGAAACTGTTGCTTTGACGGGTCACATGTTGAGGTGGCAACAATGAGGCCTTCTGGCAGACAACGTCAGCATTTTCACATCTGATTGGCTGTTCAGGGAGCGTACTGCTCAGAGGTACGAAACTGCATCTGTAGCATCCTGCACGAGCTAAATGTCAAGTGGACATTCTTACATTTTAATTCCTAAAGTAAATTAAAACTTGTGCCAGAAACATGACAGAGCACAGTTGGTTTTAATTGTTAGCTTTCATGGCAATTGAAAAAGACATTGTTGAAACAGAAACACCACCTGTAGGACAGAGGAACTGAACTCTTCTAGACAAAAGGCAGGAGGATGGAGTTTGTGCACAGTTCATCAAAACCTTTGGTAAATAAAATGCATTTTAATGTATATTATTTTTAATATTGTTGTGATTTTATCATGTTAATATTGATGTTTTACTAATTATGTATGTGGCTTAGCTGTGGCTGCATTTGAAGGCAACCAGTTGAACTGTTAATTAGGTTTCTTGCTTGAGTAATTTCATTCATTCTTGCTACATGAGATACCTGTCTGTGCCTATTACACCACATTTCTGTATATTATTGATGGTTCCTAGAGCTGTGGTGTCATAATGACAACAATCAAAAGGTGGATACATTCAGGACATCAGTGAAAGCCTAAGTGTGAAATGTGCAGACCACCACTGGAATCTTATGTCTTATTGTGTGACTTCAAAAGAAAGTCAGTGCAAGCTTTGTGTGCTAGTTCAAATCATTTTTATCCTAAGATGGTACTAACCTAACATTACTTTTATTATATATTTTGGGTGTGTTGCCCTCCCACAGTCCAAAAACATGCATGTTAGGCTGATTGGTAACTCTAAATTGTCCCTAGGTGTGAGTGAGAGAGTGAATGGTTGTTTGTCTCGTTTGTCTCTATGTGGCCCTGTGATGGACTTGCGACCCGTCCAGGGTGTACCTTGCCCCTCGCACAGTGATTGCTGGACATGGGCACCGGTGACCCCCGTGACCCAAAATGGAATAAGCGGGTAAAGATAATGGATGGATGGATGGATGGATGGATGGGTTTGTTGCCACCTGTGATGGACTGGAGACCTGTCCAGGGTGTACCCCGCCTCTCACACAGTGACTGCTGGACATGGGCACCATTGACCCCCGTGACCCAAATAGGAAGAAGTGGGTAAAAATAATGGATGGATGGATGGATGGATGGTTTGTTGCTACTTTTGTTTGTACCAATTATACTTAAAACATCTTTCTGTCTTTGGTGATTAGAGCATATGTTGAAACTGAGGGAAGCTTTGTCTTATACTGTAATACTGACAGGAAGTACCTGTAATCACTGAGGATATTAACGTTACACTGAAAACAAGATATAAATCTTCATGCTAACAAATGTAAAATAGGATAACATTTTAAATGGCTAACACCTTAACTGAACATAATTACAACAGTGTGCACAAATTCTTATTTTTGGCTTAGCTGTGACGTAGTTTAAATGTCTCACTAAAACTGCACGGACTGAAAGCTTTTCTGGTAAAGTTTGTGAGAGATTTCGACGGCAATAAAAACTGAAGTCTGACACGACCACAGGTGATTCCTTAAACAGCGTTTTAAATCATATCAGCTGTGTAATCCTCTTAGTATCACCAAGACAACATATTAACGTTGCATTCGGTACACAGAAACTCCACATGCTATAAAACTTAGTCAATAAATACAACAGCTGTCATCCACTGTTTACTTTCCCAGCCACTGAACGCTAAAGCAGACTGCAGGCAGAGAAACCTAGCAACAGAGATTAAATCAGAGTTTCCATCATAGCCGTGTACATTTTATGTTATACTCGTAAACTGCTTCCTCGCAATGATGTTCCAGGTGAAGCATCTTATCAACACAACTGTTCTAAAAATCAGACAATCCTTGTCATTGGTGAGGATCCTCTCCCCGTCTCTTAAAGCGTAACAGTTCTGCTTTTGGCGTGAAATGTTGTTTACTGTGTTTATCACAGAGGATTACCAAATCCTACCCACGCACTGCTCCCTGTAGCCATATTCCACCCTCTACCCACCTGTTCCCAAGCTGGCCACCACCAGAGTGAACTGGGTCTCGTCCTGTTTCTTCGTCACATTGTTGAAGGCTCGGCACAGGTACTCCTCAGCTTGGGCCAGTCTGTAGAGCTGCACCTCCAGTCGTGGGCCCTCGGTGATGATCTCGGTCACGTTGTGGCTCTTGTAGATCCAGACGTAACTGTTTGGGGGGTTGGAATCAGCCTGGCATTCAAAGAACACCAGCTCACCAGGGTTGATGGTGAACACCTCCCCTGTCCGAAGGCCCTGGCCCGAGTTCACCTCCAGGTTGTAGGGGCCATCTGTGCATGAGTCGGGGAAACATGACAGTTTTCTGTTAAAAAAATATTACATATCGCACATTTTTATAAGCCGTCTCATTCTAATACATGAAAAACTCATAGTATATACCTGTATGGGTATTTCATTAACCAATTATCCTAAAGACAAATAAACTGGGTCGGCAGTTGTAAGTTGTCCTAGAGCATTGGTTTCCAAAGTTGAGCTGGACTCAGAAGATCAGACCCATAAGATGATCCCTTTACAACAATAATTTTCTTCTTCTTCTTTCGGCTGCTCCCTGCGTTAGGGGTCACCACAGCGAACTAAGACTTGGCAATCATTTATATACTGGATGCCCTTCCTGACGCAACCACAGACCACCGAGCTACCACAGTCCTCTGTGTGGAGCAGAGAGTTGCCATCTAGGGTGCCCGGTAAGGGCCTTGCTCAAGGACCCAGAGAAGGATAAATGAGGGTGGAGGCAGGTGTGGGTGTTTCACCTATCCCACCCACATTTTGATGTTGTCTGTAACGGGAGTTTAACCAGCGATCTTCTGATCACAGGCCCACCTTCTCTAACCTCTGCACCACCACTCCCCTAAGCAAAACAACAAGATTATATTTTATTAATACACCCCCAAAAAAAGGTACATGCTACTTTACTGAGGAATTAGATCTGCAAACATTAGACCAAATCTTAGCTCGAGCTGGTGTGACTGCGCTGTGCAACGGTTTAGTTTTTTTTTTTTCAAAAGGAAACAAAAATATTTACAAATTAGTCTGACATTGAGTTTTTGTAATATCTTGTGACCAGCACTATGATGAAATGTTACATACAGTTGTGAGTAAGCTTCTTTCAGCTGCTCCTTTCTTCTGGGGTTGCCACAGCGAGCAAACTTGCACAATTTATTTTATTAATTTTATTAACCTTTATTTAACCACGCAAATCCCATTGAGATCACAGATCTCTTTTGCAAGGGAGGCCTGGGCCTGAAGGCAGCCTAACATGCATGTTTTTAGTTTGTGGGAGAAAACTGGAGTACCCGGAGAAAACCCACCCAAACACAAGAAGAACATGCAAACTCCACACAGAAACACCCCAGGTCCAACTGGGGATTGAACCCAGGACCTTTTTGCTGTGAGGCGACAGTGCTAACCACTGAGCTGTCAATTTGACAATTGTTTAATGGTGTTCCTGACACAACCAGGACTCGAACCTGCAACCTCAGGATTACAAGACAGCAACAATGAACACAAAGCAACCACAGCCCCCACCAAGCTACCATAGACCCAGCCCCATACAGTTGTATATGATGTTTTTATTTATAATTTTCATTCTGTCCAGCTAGGTCTAACAACAAACCCCCTTTTTAACTTATCTAATTTGTATAAAGAAAATAAAAGTTTAGACTGATGAGGCATGAAAAGCAAATGTACGAGTCCCCCAGAAGAAGAAGATTTGAGTTGCAGACTTGCACATGGACAGCTTTGGTCTGCAGGGGAAACATACATGTTTCTACTCATGTTTCATCAAGATGATTGAGTTTTGAGTAGATCAGCAGGTATTTGTGCACAACAAAGTATGATGTAAATTGACACCCTTAGAATGAAAGTACAACATATAGTATTTGTGTATGATAATATGACAACTCATGTTTTATATAGTACTTGACACTTATTGTTGTACATACGCCAATTTTTTCATGAACCATGGTTCCCTCTGTCGCTGTTTTTTTTTTTTTTTTTTTTGGTGTGTGTGACTGAAACCAAGCTAAACATTAATGTAAAATGACATGTACATGTTCAGCCAATGTGAACATAAAGGATCATTTTAACAAAAGCTGTGTCAAATTGACCAAAAAGGAACAAAGGATGCTAGTTGTGACAAAAGAAATGCATAACTCTCCACATCTGATCAAAATCATCTGTTTTGCAAAAATGGAAACGCATTCAAAAAATTTTACAGAAGGTTTGAAGTTAACTCAAAACCAGGACAGTTTTAACTTAACATCCGTTATGGTATTTCAGAGGAGCTCTTTGAGATAAGTCAGCTGCCATGCAAATATTTTTCCATAGCAGCCACATATTGTTGGCAAGAAGGCTGATGTCACAAAAATTTACATATGATCAAATACCTTCAGGGAAATGTGCCAAAATAACTCAAAAGAATCATCTGTTCTGTGGTTTATGAATAAAACAGGAACTTTGTGTTCATACAAACATATTCCCAAATATCTGTGGTAATAGAAACGTTTCATTACTAAACTGTAACAAGAGATATCCTGATGCATGCTCAATAATCCAGGTAGAAAAATCCTACAAAGTTGTCAGGTTCTCTGGATAGATTCTTTAGAGATGATTTGTGGTGCTAAATTTAAACTGTGCCACTCAGCTTTAGAAAACGAGTTTAATTATGAACAGATCCTTTTTATAAAGTTGTATGGTATAAGTGCCTTGAATTGGAACTTGACCCTCCTCAGACTCTCACTGAAGACAGACGCTTCTCCTCTCCCTCCCCCCGTTCTCCTCTTCCTCCTGCTTCTGCTCTCTGTGTCTCGGAGCTCTGGTACACATCTCTCAATCGAAAAACACTATTATGGATCTGACGAGCTGGACTTTCAACGAAATCGACAAAATCTTTTCAACAAAACAATAGGGTCCTGGAGAACCCTCTTGCCCGGCTGAGGCTCACACTGGGGTACATCAGAGATCAGCTGATGTGTCTTTCAGTTCTGTCTCGGGAGGACGCTGAAAACATTTATATATTTGGATTTATGATAGCAGGGGGACCCCCGTGACCCAAAATGGAAGAAGTGGGTAAAGATAATGGATGGATGGATGGATGGATAGCAGGGGTTCTGCTATTTGGCATTGGCGGGACTCTGTTTTATCAACTTTAAGAAGACACTGGCAGCAGTTTCGGCCATGGCACGCTTCCAAGTCTGTGTGAACGTTTGGTTTGTTCTATGAGGACTCAAAAACAGCTGATTAATGCGCAAAACCGTAAGATGGAGACAATTTGTGAAAATTGTAGGCCACCTGCAGCTTTAGGACTCGACAGCATATGGGATCAATTTTGGGGAGGCTCATAACACGAATCAGTGGAGAGGAATGCCCATAATTCTGGAAATGTTGGACCAAGGAAGTTCCAGCAGGACTCAAGGCTGACAAGAAAAAAAAACAGCCTGCCTAAAAAAATCAACAATTGTGGCTTATCTGAATCTGACTCCCCCATTTGGCCTCGGATACGAGCCGACTATCAAATTTCTCCTGGGACATGGGTAACTAGGGAAAAAGCTTTGTCTATCACAACCCCACCCTCACCCCGAGAACTTCTGTGCAGGCTTATCAGAACTGTGGCCTACCTGAAAGTGCATGGACAAATCTTACTGTCTTGATGTCAAATGCACATGCAATGTTTATAAATGTTCTCGCTGGTAGAGTTTTTTGATATCTTAAATTGTGTCCTGAAAGGACAAGATGTGAAGAGATCTTTTTTGTAATACCACTATCCATCCTCATGGTTCTTACCCTTTTTCTGTCTAAAAGTATTTTGAAAAGGATAAGAGGCCGCGCTCTCAAAGAGCAGCAGCTATGTGCACTCTGCCCACCTTTCAGACGATTGTATGGACATATTCTCGCTGTATTTCGGTACAATGATAATAAAGCTTATTCTGATTCTGATTCTGATACTGTTTAAGGACTAAAAGAAGTTGGATTCTGATGATAAAATAGGATTAAACCTACATTTCCCAATGATCATGCAAACATTCAAAGCTGCTACTTTTACTCTTAATAAAAACTGATTTTCTTGGAATAAACAGAGTTACTTACAGTAAACACTGAGTTCCACCATCTTGCTGGACTGGCCCCGGCTCACTGAGTTACTGGCCACACAGCGATAACTTCCTTTGTCCATTTTTGTCACAGGGGTAATCACCAACACAGAGTTATCTTGACTGAAGTGGTATCTACTACTGGGAGTCAGCAAAACATCATCCCTTAGCCACTGGAACACAACTCTGGTTCCTCTCTCAACAGAACAAGTCCAAGTTACGTTTGCTTTGTCTTCTACGACTGGATGAGATGGGCTCTTCTCAATGAGCGGAGTGGAGACAGGTACTACGGGGAGGAAAAACAAGAAGCATTGGTCAAGTTGGACACCCAATAAACATCATGTAAACATTTAGTAAGCAAGAGGCTCACCATCCACTGTTACATGGATTGTCTTCTCCTCCTTGGTGACTTGTCCTTTTCTGTTGTGAAACTTTATGTTGAGGCTCAGGTCATAATCCCCTTCACTGTCCCGGTTTAATTTCAAGATCAGCAAAGACACATTGGGTTGTTTGAAGAGGAGGTGGTTGCGGTACATCATGTCAGTGATCACGGTGTCATTGGTAAATGTGACCAACGTGGTCCGGGTTCCACTCGGTTTGGTGTGAGACCAAGTCCCCTGGATCTCAGCTTCATCCAGTGAAAAGAGGGTCTCCACAGACAGAAGCAGGGGGCTCCCCTCAATGCCATGACGAACCAGGGAAGGGATGTGAATTAATTCGCTGCTGGTCTCTAGATGAACGGAAATAGTAGAAGTAGATTTAACATTTAATCCAACAACTTCAAACATTGTCATTTGTGTTATTTGTTATTTTCTACCTTTATTTACATGTGCAAATATAGTATCCGTTTTGCCAGTCTACAAGCCATTCACTTGGTATTTTATACATGAAGTCTCTTATCCAGTCTTCAATGAGCCACAGGAAGGTTTTAGATGAGACCACGGCACAATCAATAATAGTGGATCTCAGTTTCTGATTGATTCAGAACAATTACCTTCATTTATCCTGAATTTAATTTATTTGAAGTTATAATAATCTTCTTCTTCTTCTTTCAGCTTTTCCCTCTTCAGGGTCTCCACAGCAAGTCATCCTCCTCCATCTCTGTCCTCTGCATCCTCTGTCCTCACTCCAACTACCTCCATGTCCTCTCCAACTGCATCCATTCATGACCTCTGTCTTTTTCCTGGCAGCTGCATTTCTTCCTTCTACCAGTATACCCACTGTCCATCCTCTGGACATGTCCAAACCACTGTCCCTCATCTGGACATGTCCAAACCATCTCAGTCTGACCTCTCTAACTTTATCTCCCAGTTGTTCAACCTGTGCTGTACCTCTGATGATCTCATTCCTAATCTTCTCCATCCTTGTCACTCCTAAGGAGAACCTCAACATCTTAATTTCTGCTACTTCCAGTTCTGTCTTCTGTTGTTTTGTCCATGTCGCTGTCTCCAGACCATACAACATAGTTAGTCTCACCACTGTCTTGTAAACTTTTCCTTTGACCTTTGCTGACACCCTTTTGTCACAAATCACTCCTGAAACTTTTCTCCATCCACTCCATCCTGTCTGGACTCTCTTCTTCACCTCTTGACCACACTTCCCATTTTCCTGGACAGTGGACCCCAAGTCCTTCAAGTCCTGCACCTTTGTGACCTCTGCTCCTTGTAGCCTCACTGTTCCACCGGTCTCCTTCTCATTCACACACATGTACTCTGTCTTACTACGGCTGACTTTCATTCCTCTTCCTTCAAGTGCATACCTCGACCTCTCCAAGTTCTCTTCACCTGTTCTCTGTTCTCACCACAGATCACAATGTCATCTGCAAACATCATAGTCCACGGGGATTCCTGCCTGAGCTCATCTGTTAGTTGGTCCATCACCAGAGCAAACAAGAAGGGGCTCAGAGCCGATCCTTGATGCACTTCCACCTCCACCTTGAAGCTATCTGTCACTTCTACAGAACATTTCACCACTGTCCTGCTGTCCTCATACATGTTCTGTACCAGTCTAACATTAATTGAAGTTATGAAAATAACAATAATAATTTAAGTTTGCTGAAACTTGCAATAAACAAAACTTTGATCTAATAACTTGTCATTGAGTACATTTTAAAGCTTATTTCCTCTTTTCCAAACAGCATAAATGCAAAATTTTAGCTCGATTTTCCTAAACAAATCAGCTGCCAACTCAGAAAGGTAAGATGATGCTTATTGTTTTTTTTTTATCCAAACCGCAGTCTTTCTTAGACATTAACAAACAAAAAGAATGATAAAAAAAATTAAATTTTAAAATATTTTAACTTAAACATAATTGGAAATAAAGACAGTCTCACAAGAGTGTTATACCTCCATCTCAGTTGCAAGACATATAATTTCAGAAATATTCAAATGTTTTGTTAACTTGATAAGCTTGTTCACATCTAACAAACTTCACAACTGCATTGCTTTTTTTACTAAATGGATGTGGAAATACTCTTAAAATCTATAAATAATGAGCTGATACACAAATTAGCACTTAGTTAGGTGGCTGTCTGGGGGCATTTTACTAGGTGTTGTGAATGATCATGTTGGTAATTATTGAATCTTGAGCAAAAAAAATTTGCACAACTTGTGCTGATATAAAGATTTCATTAATATTTTTTAATCTATTGTCTCCTGAAGCTGCTTTGGACATTTTAATAGCAATGCGGTATTTCAGTCACTCTTTAGAAGTGTTAATACAGGTATGCCACAAGGCTCAGTCCTTGGCCCACTTCCTTTTTAGTTTATGTCAAAATGATTTGCACTTTCGACAGGTTTTCAGATATGCGTTTATAACATAGTTATATTTTTGAAGGACACTATATCTGTCTCAGTACAACTGTCATGTTTTTGTTGATCTACTGCTATATGGTCTGAAAAGTCATATCGTACAATAAAAGTTTACAAAATAGTGTCAGTTTGCTTTTCTTCAAGCAAAAGCTTGAAGAAAAGCTTGCTTTCTTCAATAATCTCAGATTATTAGCAATGCAAAGTGAATATCAAGATCAGCGAGCATCTTATCAAACAAGTCTCAGAAGTACAAAAAAATAATATTATGTTGGTTTCTTATGTAAAGTTTTTTTAAACTGGTTAAGATGGTAAACAAAGTGTCAAAAACAAACTTTCGTACATCTTGCATATCATTTTATGCATTCAATGATTTTTTTCCCCAACTATAGTGTCTTGTTGGTTACAAGCAGCAATAGCTAAGCAATTAATGATAATATATATTCAGACAAATAAAATATTGGACAGGAAGTTTATCAGATCACATTCTTGTCATTATCTAAAGAATCTGAGTATAATGAATTTTAAACATTTTTGTCAAAATCTCCAAGTGAACTTAAAATCTCAGCAGTAGGGTGTCTCTCTGGACAATCTGGGACTGGTGTGGAGTTATTTACCTACAGAACATGAACTGAACTCTGACTGGCATCATTTTAGATTAACAGTGAAGCAGTTTCTCAAGAAAGACTGCCACCTTCCCTTCTCTTAATTATCTTCTATGCCTTATCTTGTGTTTTATTTGATCCAGAGTCTGTTTTAAATTGTCTTTTGGGCTTTAAAAGTTGTGGTGTATGTTTTTTTATTAATATTAACACTTGTCCCTTCATAAACAAATGTTAAAATTAAAAACTAAGTTGTCTAATTGATAAGATCGAGAGAAGAAAGGAATGTAAACCCAAGGAAGACCGTTTGTGCTGCATCCTGCTTCTCAAACCGTCCAGGTCCTGATACTGTAGTGAGTTAATATTGACCCAGCTCACTACAGGGTGCCATTGTTGTCAAGCAAACATGAGGCCTGTCTGATCTTGAACTCAATGAGGAACAAGCATTCGGGCTGTTTTAAGTTGCTGTAATTGTTGATGTATTGTGCGTCTCTGTCTGTTTAGGCTGCAGTTTGTTGCCCAGCAGTTTGTTCACTGGTTACGAGCTAAAAACAAAAGAAACAAAAGCAAAACTACGAAGAATGAAATGGCAGAAACTATTTGAACTGGAAATTTGAGTGAGAAAGTGAGCAGGAGGTTTTCAGTTGTCCAACTTTTGTTTCGTAATATTTTTTGTCAGCATCTTTCTTTTTATGCAAGTGTCACTTCTGTTTACGTATCCTCTGCTTGAGCATTTAAAAATGACATTATGACAGTCATGGAAAACTGTTTTGGGCAGCACGGTGGCGCAACTGGTAGAGCTGCTGCCTCTCAGCGAGCAGGTCCCTGGTTCAAACCCCGGTCCAGGGGCCTTTCTGGGAGGAGTTTGCATGTTCTCTCCGTGCATGCGTGGGTTTTCTCCGGGTGCTCCGGTTTCCTCCCACAGTCCAAAAACATGCATGTTAGGCTGATTGGTAACTCTGAATTGTCCCTAGGTGTGAGTGAGAGAGTGAGTTGTCTCGTTTGTCTCTATGTGTCCCTGTGATGGACTGGAGACCTGTCCAGGGTGTACCCCGCCCCTCGCACAGTGATTGCTGGACATGGGCACCAGCGACCCCCGTGACCCAAAATGGAATAAGCGGGTAAAGATAATGGATGGATGGATGGATGGATGGATGGATGGATGGATGGATGGATGGATGGAAAACTGTTTCTAGGTTTTAAATATCTTATTTTTTGGACTATAAGGCACACCGGATTATAAGGCGCATTAAGCGAAACAAAACTGTCAGATAAGTCAAACTTTATTCAACTCATTCACAATAATCACATAAATTGGGTTTGGGGTCAGTAAGTACAACCAGAATCAATACGTAAGGTGCACCTGATTATAAGGCTCACTGTCAATGTATGAGAAAATTAAAGGATTTTAAGTGCGCCTTATAGTCCAAAAAAAATTACAGTATCTTTCAAATGAACTCTGATTTCTCTCTTTTATCTCCTTTGGCCAGTCCATGGTTCCTCTTTATTAATCCACCTGGTGTTTGTCCGGTTTCTGGTGGCTGCTGCCCAAGTGGCTCATCACAATACATCTACTGTGTGTCAGGTGTTATGTCCTAAATAATACATGCAGGGAAAAAGCCACAGGGACACGTTTCACTCCCAGGCCCGCAGGCCAGTTTCTGTGTTTGTTTGTGAGTGTGTGGGAGTGTGTGTTGTCAGTAGCCGGAGTGTGCCTGTGTTTACACCAGCCGAAAGCCGGTGAAAAGGCTGAACAAGAGGAAGTGTGCCCTGCCCGCTTCGTTCACTGTTGTCCCCAAACAGCTGGGTAATTGTTGTGGTGATAGTGAGGAGATTACAGTGACAATGGGCTCTGAGGTGACAGGATATCTGTAGTTTAGTAGACAGGGCCCCGATGCACACGCACACACACACATGCATAAGGAGACCCACTTGCACCTGTTCCTTATCGCCCTCACACACATCAAGTTGTTTGATTGCTAAATAAAGTCAGCGGGCATGTGTCCGAGCACCACCATCCTCCACTAATGGGACAAACAGAGCTTCTCAAGAAGAGTTGATGATACAAACATCTCAGCAGGGGAGAGTCGCAGCAGGTCATCATGTGTTTTTGTTTAGTTCCTGTCTCAAGTGAATCACAGATCTATGACCAGGGATGTTTATTCTTTCCACTTGACCCTTTTCCTTCAGATTACTTGCAGCTAACAATAGAAGGCAAGCTGCGTCTGGATGGTCATGCTGCACTGACTATGGAAAGAACATGCAAAACGAATGCTCGGACTGATGGAGGCTGAAAAGAGGAACTCCCTGACAAACTTTCAGTACAAAAATGTCAAAAATTAAACGTTTCTATCCAACAACAAGCAAGCACCACATGTC